GATGGAATAGAGAACAACGACGTAGTCTTCAGTTGATGAAACATAATTTTCTCTGTGTTACTAGTGAAATAATGGAGTGTTACTTCGTCATGAGGATGTCTGTTGTCTGACCTCGAAATGGATTTGTATTTTCTCGGATCGAAGGTCATATAATGAAGGTACGCATTTTTTATCAAAATGATACATTTTCGTTGAGATAAATTATATAATTCAAAGAATTACGATTGTAGTTCCAGAAGTATCAAATTCATATTTATTCTTGACGATGGATATACAAGGTGCGACACAAAATATGTCTATTATTTCACTAGTAACACAGGGAAAATTATGTTTCATCAACTGAAGACTACGTTGTTCTTCATTCCAGCAATCATTAATTCTTGTATCACTTTGTATAGATTTCTTCAGAATTTTTTGTGTTCGAACACGATCACATATCCGACGACTATACATACAACGCTGATTCTTCGAAGAAGAATTCCAACTTTCAATTTCATTCAACTAATCGTCGAAAAAATGCATCATTTTGAATGAATATTCATAACAAGATTATCAAACCTCTGAATTTGAAAATTCTGAAAACTTTTCAAGAGAAAGCATCAATAAAGAGGATACAGGTGAGAAAAAAAAAGAAAAAAATTATCTGTTCAAACGGTAAGGTGACGACCACAATGCAATTTTACACCCATTCAATTATCACCCTGTAGCAATGTTATCTGAAATGACAGAATTTTCATATTGCCACAACGAACTGTCAAGAGATTAGGCTAATCATCGGTGAAAACCGATTTCAAATTCGTAAGGAGTTTCGTGAGTTATTCTACTTTGAATTCAGGCTATATTTCGGACCACGACGTTATCAATGTTGACCAGTTTATTTCCGCATGTTCCTTGCAATCTTTATGTAATCAAAGTGTAAGTTTCACTAAATAGCCCAAAATTGTACATATTGATTACAAAAAAATCGGATTCGAGTGTTTTTTTTTTCTTTGCATTTCTGAGAACATTAACTATATTAATGTATATATTTTACATTTTACATTATGAGAAAGAAGAGATTTCAACGAACAAAAAACGCCCAGAATTTTTTCAAAAAGCTGATATTTTGACGTGATAATTTTCGATTGAAAATTAGGGTGTTTTTTCGATATTAAGTCAAAATAAGGTAAAAAAATAAGTATTTCGAATCGAAAAAATCACAGTGTCTTTAGGACATAAAAAAGTAAGTTTTCACCAAATTTCGTGGGAACAATTTTTTTTTGTATAAGAAAAATAAAAAACCAATAACTTGATTATTGAATTTTTCACATAAATTTTGAGGTTATGTGAAGAAAGTGTGGTAACAAAAGTTGTAGGTCTCTTCATTACCTACAACTTCGTCATTTAATATTTCTCCATAGGACTTGTGGTTTTGCCGGAAATCGAGATACATCGTTTTTCACCCTTAAAACTCACCCCCTTCCACTTCCTGACCTCAGATAGCCCGTAAATTGTTTTTCCTTTCATTTTTGTTAAATTGTCGTCCTTTCTCAACGGGTTTCATCCTCCTATTTTTTTTTTCAAATTATCGACCCTGGTCTACCAAGTTAGTACTTGATTTTGATGTTTAAATCATCAACACTGTTGTGGTAAATTTCCCTGTGTGGGTTTTCTACTAGTAATATTATCATTATTACTCTGATTTTTAACTGAGATTTTGAGAAATGGCATTCTCTGAATCACTCTGAATGCTCTGAACCAGAGATTATAATCTCTGTCTGCTGTCTGAACTAAGCAAAAAATCCACACATGGAAAGTAACAACAACAATGTTGATGACATAAATGTCAAAATTAACAACGATATTGGTCATGGCCTCCTTATAGGTACTGTTGTTTCATTTCAATATTAATTTCAGTGAAACTCGTATTTTCAATAAAACTCATAGTTTTGACAAGTTTAATCCAAATCTTATCTTTTATTGATAATCTGAGAAGTCCAGAATTTTCTATCTTTTCAGTTTTTCTCCAGCCCTTGAATGCATCAGATGTTCTGCAACTGATACATAGGCTGAAAAATAAAAAAAACTCAGGACTTTTATGAGTTTAGTACATATCTTATCAAATGCTGTGCCCATAACATTGCAGAACCAATGTGTGACATAATAAATTCTTGTTTGGCACAAGGAATCTTCCAGAATATTTTCAAATCAGCCAAAGTTCTCCCACTTTATAAAAACGAAGACTCATCACTTCCAAAAGATACCAAGCATGTCTAAAATCATAGAGTATGCTATTCTCAGTCAATTGTCCGCTCATATTGAAAGACACAATATCTTTAGTCCTACTCGGTTTGGATTCAGACATGCTAAGAAAACATCCGATACAATTGTTCTTCTTATGGACACCATACAGGAGGCATACGAAAATAAAAATTCTTGTATAGCTATACTAATCGATCTGACCAGGCATACGAGGAGTCGCAAATACAGTTCTCAACACACTAAATGGACCACTCATAATTTGACTCAATTTCGAAGACCTGTATTTTTTGAAAAAATAGACCGATCTTCATGCGGTTTTCGATATCAGATGTGATATTCCATCGGCTTCAAAGAGAGCTAGAACACTCTGAAAAAGTCCGCAGAACAGAACTTACACAGGGTGTAAAGTGGAACCATTACACTATGGTCTACATTTCCAATGCTGCCAGAACTCGAGAAATTTTCTTCTGATCAAAAGTCAGTCATATTATGATACACTGGACCTCATCTCGGGACGTTTTCGTGATTTCTCCTTAATTGGCCATTGGAACAAAAATTCGATTTTTTTTTCGAAAGTCTTGCATTTCTTGATTTTTTTCTCTAGAACTTCACTTGAGCGGACTATTGGGAAGAACTATTCTCATGTTTCATGGAGGATAATGAAAGACGAAAAGAGCACTTTTTTGGATTATACAGTATGATAAGAAACTGGGACAAAATCTCATTTCCGTGAAAAAATCAAAAATGGTGACTAAAACTATGGCCCATTCGATCCAGTATATTCAGAAACGGCCTTCTCGATATCCATTATTTATATTAGACTACTAACTCGAGATGTTTTCGAAAATTCATCTCTAAATGAAATACAGGATGAAAATTCCCAATTCAAACTTGTTTCCTGATATTGATGGTTTCCAATATTTATTGCCCAAGTATGAGACACATAGTATTGTTGTTCAATGTACTGAGTGTTCTACAACTCATCTGACAAATTTCAACCACAACTACGATATTACATAAGAAGTCTATCACAAAAAAAAATTATAGAAGTAAAACGAGATGGAAAATAAAATTTGTAACACTTTATATCCACTAAAACTATTCGAAAAGGGCTCTATTGGCGAAATATTACATTATCGAATTCTTCAACATTATGGAGATCCAACTAGAAAGTCCTATATACTGAATTTCAGTACTTGGTAGGCCTCCCCGATTCAACAAAACTTCATGAAATCGGTTTGGCATAGATTCTATGAGGTTGTTGATGAAGTCTATTGATATTGCCGCCCATTCTGGATAAGGTTGTCATTATTTTGGGGTGCCTCACCTTCTCGATAGGTTAAGTTTCATTCGGCTGTACACATGTTCAATCAAATTCAGATCTGGAGATAATGCTGGTCACCACATTCTTCTAACATTATTGTTTTCTAGAGTTCGTAATTTGTCAGATAAGTTGTGGAACACTCAGTATATTGGACAACAATGCTCTGTGCCTCATACTTGGGCAATTAATATTGGAAATCCGTTGATAAAATGATGAGAATCATCGATATCAGGAAACAAGTTTGAATTGAACATTTTCACCCTGTATTGTCCTATTTTCTTATCACCCTTTTCGAATAGTTTTAGTTGATATAAAGTGTTACAAATTTTATTTTCCATCTCGTTTCACTTCTATTGAATTTTTTTGTGATAGACTTCTTATGTAAGTTGTGGTTGAAATTTGTCAGATGAGTTGTAAAACACTCAGTATATTGAACAACAATCCTCCGTTTCTCATACTTGGGCAATAAATATTGAAAATCATCGATATCAGGAAACAAGTTTGAATTGAAAAATGTCATCCTGTATTTCATTTAGAGGCGAATTTTCGAAAACATCTCGAGTTAGTAGTCTAATATAAATAATGGATATCGAGAAGGCCGTTTCTGAATATACTGGATCGAATGGGCCATAGTTTTAGTCACCATTTTTGATTTTTTTCACTGAAATGGGATTTTGTCCTATTTTCTGATCATCCAGTATATTCCAAAAAAGTGCTTTTTTCGTCTTTCATTATCCTCCATAAAACATGAGAATAGTTCTTCCCAATAGTCAGCTCAAGTGGAGTTCTAGAGAAAAAAATCAAGAAATGCAAGACTTTAAAAAAAATCGAATTTTTGTTCCAATGGCCAATTAAGAAGAAATCACGAAAACATCCCGAGATGAGTTCCCAGTGTATCATAATATGACTGACTTTTGATCAGAACGAAATTTCTCGAGTTCTGGCAGCATTGGAAATGTAGACCATAGTGTAATGGTTCCACTTTACACCCTGTGTAAGTTTTGTTTTGCGGACTTTTTCAGATTGTTCTAGCTCTCTTTGAAGCCGATGAAATATCACATCTGATATCGAAAATCGCATGAAGATCGGTAAATTTTAAAAAAAAATACAGGTCTTCGAAATAGAGTCAAATTATGAGTGGTCCATTTGGTGTGTTGAGAACTGTAGTTCTATAGAATCATACTTAAGAAACAGGCCACATTCATTATCAAACGGAGAGTCCCACAAGGGTCTACCCTTGGCCCCCTCCATTTTCTTCTTTATACAGGGTGTTTAAAAAAACCTGACTTCCTTACTAGGGTAGGTAGAACACTGTGCCTGCTTGAAAAAATCAGTTCTCGATCACCAAAGTAGCATTTCGCGCACTAGATACAAAAATAACTATTGCGTTCATTTCTGCAGTATATCTTTCATTTGTTTCTTCTATTAATTTTAGCACCTCTGAAAGATCTCTGTTTAGACAACAAAATAAATGATCCGACATTCATATTGATATCGGATGTTGGGCCTCCGCATCAAAGGGAATTCACCTATGAATGCAGAATCGATTCCATCAGAACGGTAGCAACAGGAAGCACAAAAAAAATGGCCAAGCAACTAGCAGCGCAGGAAATGATGGAAAAGTATTGACACACATTGTTTTATAAAAAAAAACATAATGCTATTTTTTATCTAATTTCTGGAAATTAGGCAATCCAACAGAGGTTAGAATCAATATGGCGCCTGGTTGGCACCATAGATAGGGTGAGTCATTAGTAACCAGCCATAGCCTAATGGCGGATAGAGGAAGACAAGGTGAATTGATATACAGGGTGTCCGCTAAAAGGAGGTCAATCCATTAACCATATATTCCTTGAACAAAAACAATATGAGTTTCTAGATACCATTTTTCATTTTAGCCCTTCATATTCGATATACAGGGTGTCAAAGTTGGAAATTAAAAACTGTTTTTTTCTAATTACTCGCGTATTTAATAAGATATTAATCTCAAAATTGGTACATTACTTCAGCACAAAGAGTTACATCGTGTGAGGAAAACAAAACAGAAAATAACTGTCAAATATTCAAAATACTGGGGGTCAAGTACACACCTACCCCCATATTTTTTTTGTACGTGCGCTAATGACTTCCTATCTATTTTTCTTCAAGTGTTCAATCATTTTTGAGTATTTTTTGTCTCTTGTAGAATTTCGATAAAATTATTTGTTTTTAAGATAATTCGAAAAGTTCTGGTTATTGTTTGATGCCTATGCGGCTCACGGTAATCTCATAATGTTCACATACTCCTATTTATTTCGTCGAAATTGGAAGAGGGCGTAACTTTTTACGTACGAAAAGGTAAATATGGAAATACCGGGTGCTCAGATCGAATGTATTAAAATAATTTTTACAAAAAAAATTGATAGAAATTCAACACGTCTAAATTAATTGCTCGATATGACCTCCAATTTTTTTGAATACACATGCGAGCCCTTTTAATTAAAGAAAATCTTAGCCTTTGAAAAATATGTGGCTTCAACCTGAAGTGCTCCCCAGCTTGAAAGAGTCTGTCTCTTAAATGATTCTCGCTCATAATCGGAACCTTATACACAAAATCTTTCATGCATCCCCAGACTGAAAAGTCCAAGGGTGTGAGATCAGGGGAACGGGGTGGCCATTTAACAGGAGCATCCTGACCCCGACCAATCCAGCGATTAGGAAAGATTTCATTCAAATAATTTCGAACATTTACAGCAAAATGCGGAGGTGCACCGTCTAATTGAAACCACATATTTTCTCTCACCAGTAGAGGCAAATCATCAAGTAAATCAGGGAGAGTGTTTTGAAGAAATATTAAAAACGAATTACCAGTCAAATTTCCTGGTAAAATTATAGGCCCCAAAAGATAATTATCTACGACACCTGCCCACACATTGACTTTAAAATTTACTTGATGATGTGTCTCTACTATGGCTTTAGGATTTTCTTCTGCCCATTGGTGTGTGTTGTGAATATTTGTTATCCCGTTTCTCGTAAATGTAGCTTCATCAGTAAATAAAATATTGTTGATGAAACGTACATCTTGGTTATTCATGTCACATAACCATCTACAGAATAAAAGTCTGGCTTCAAAGTCTTGAGGCAAAAGAGCTTGCACTTTTTGAATGTGGAATGGGTAAAGCTGCTGACTTCTTATAATTCTGTGTACCGATGTTTTCCCGACATTTTCAACCTGCCTCGCCAAAACCCTGGTACTAATGTTTGGTGTTTCTTCGACAATCCTTAAAATCTTTTCCTCTTGGTCTGGTTGAATTAGAGTAGGTCGACCGCAATTACCTCTCCGTTGTTCATTAAAATGTCCAGTCTGTCTTAGACGGTTCACCAAATTGGAAAAATATCTCCTTTTTGGATGAAATCTATTAGGATACTTGTCTGCGTAGCGCCTAGTGGCTAAACTAGCGTTGGAGTTACATTTTCCTATTGAAAAAATGGAAATAAATTTATACTATTATCGGCAAACGTACCGATTTGTATCTTACCCATGATTAAAACCATATCGGTCAATTCTGAAGAGGGTAATAAGTGTCGTCGTCTACGATCCATTTTATTTATTTTCAATTTGCAAGAATACTGACTTCTAATTATTGAAGAAACTTTTAAGTCTTGAAATGCGTAACAGAGTTTTAAAATACAATGAAAGAACGAAATATAATTTGACAGTAAGACAATCCTCTGCCGTATTCATGACAATCAAAACGTGACAGCCACCTACTAGATTTTTTCGATTTATTTACAGAAGATCCGTTCATGCACGATGTTGTATTGTATTTTTCATCGGATAACTATCGCATTTACGGAAAAAACATACGAGTCAAAAAAGTTTTGCAATGCACCCAATCTGAGGTAATCAGTCTAATGAGAACTTACACCAATGACTGGAAACCATTATTAACAAACATTGAAATGAGTAAAACGGAAATTCAATAGAAGTATTTTTCTCAACTTAATGGAAATCCAAATTGCCATTAAACCAGCCAAGAAGAGTCTATTGGAAACAAACTTTTCAAATACGAATGATTGCAATCCAGATAATCAAAGAGATGAAAAACAAGAAATAAAAAAAGTGAGGACACATGTCGAATACAATTTTTCTTGAAACTTTTTTTTACGGGGTCAAATAAAAAAAACATTTCTTGGAATTTCGGGAAAATAATGATTTTAGGAGGATGGGAGGGGGGGGGGGGGGTGTTTGACGAGCCCACTCTTTTAAAGAATTATTAAATTGATTTTTTTCGAGAACATTATGAGATTACCGTGAGCCGCATAGGCATCAAACAATAACCAGAACTTTTCGAATTATCTTAAAAACAAATAATTTTATCGAAATTCTACAAAAATACTCAAAAATGATTGAACACTTGAAGAAAACTAGATAGGAAGTCATTAGCGCACGTACAAAAAAAATATGGGGGTAGGTGTGTACTTGACCCCCAGTATTTTGAATATTTGACAGTTATTTTCTGTTTTGTTTTCCTCACACGATGTAACTCTTTGTGCTGAAGTAATGTACCAATTTTGAGATTAATATCTTATCAAATACGCGAGTAATTAGAAAAAAACAGTTTTTAATTTCCAACTTTGACACCCTGTATATCGAATATGAAGGGCTAAAATGAAAAATGGTATTTAGAAACTCATATTGTTTTTGTTCAAGGAATATATGGTTAATGGATTGACCTCCTTTTAGCGGACACCCTGTATGTGAGAAAATATATTCTGCCTATTTCTAACAGAAACACAGGGCATTATTTGAATTTATGGCGATACTTTGATGAACGATATTTCAGGAATGTCTTGATGTTTTCGCCTGAAATTCACCAGCAATTTACCTCTACTGACATACCACACGATGGCGTGGCTTTCATCAGAATCAGAAAGATCAGAAAAAACACTACAAGTGCAACTCTTCAATTTGTACGGAAAAATTCGACCGGATTGGTGAAAAAATATCAAACAAAATTCAGACAAATATTTCTTCGATTTCGTCAGGGCCATGAATCTCTACTCCACTAAAAGTATTTGAATCAGTTCTTTGCCTATTGATATAGCAGCAGAGTTGAGAAAAAGATTATTAAAGAAAAATCAGGACTGAACTTGGTTTTTGGAAAGAATTACAACGACAATTCTCAAAATTTCCTCCTCCCCAATTTCTATACATTTCTGCATTTCTTCGGAAGATCTCTTCTGGTTTTTGGAATATTTTGCCTATATCATATCTGAATCTGTATCTATCCTCTTTCTCAGTTCCTTTCTGGTGTTGACTTCAGTCTGATATACCAATAGTTTCTAATAGTCTATAGTCTAATACTGTGAGATTAAGGGTCATATAGGGGGCTAAGAATGAGGGCCGCCACGACCTATCCAGCGATTAGAGAATTGTTTGTCTAGGTATTCTTTCACTTGTATTGAGTAATGTGCAGGTGCCCCATCTCGTTTAGAGAAAATACCTATTTAGATTCATTTCCATACATCCATCACAGTCTTATTTTGTAGTGTTTTCTGAATAATAAAAACACCAAACTCACAATTTGATTCGCTGTATGTATGAGTTGGTACGTATATCTGATTCGGAAAAAATATTTCACCTGAGCATTAATTGTTTATATTTTTTTATCTCTTGGAGCGCACGAAAGGGAACTAAATTATTCGGAGAACATCGTGCGTACTTTGAGAGGATAGGGAGAGGATCGAGGTAGGTATTGGAATTTTTTGTGAAAATTAGGTACTTATTTCCATGTTTTGAAAGGCCTCTTCAAGAAAATAAGTCCGGCTCTGGATTTTTTCCCATAGTATGCCATTGTGTGGTGTGTCAGTAGAGGTAAATTGCTGGTGAATTTCAGGCGATAACATCGAGACGTTCCTGAAATATCGTTGATCAAAGTTTCGCCCCGAATTCAAATAATGCCCTGTATTTCTGTTAGGAATAGGCAAAATAAATTTTTCCACATATACATCAACTCACCTTGACTTCGTCTATCTTTCATTAGGCTATGACTGGTTAGTCATGACTCACCCTGTATAAAATCGTTAGAATGATGTCACTAGAACAGTTAAATACTTACTGTTTGTGATTTTCTTTGATTATATGACTTGACATAAAAACAATTACATATAAATAATTTCATTGTGTGCCAACCAGTGCACAATTTGACAGGTCTTTGGATTGCCTAATGGCCAAAAAATTCTTTGGTTTATAATTTGGGATGAAATCCACAAGTCACTTCAAAAAGAAATAAGAAATAATATATAGGATGTCCCATTCGAAAATCGAAAGTTGGGGTCCTAAAAAACGTGAACTGAACTATAATACACAACCCCAAATTATCGTTTTTTTATTTTTGATAATAAAAAAGTTATAGGGGTGTGCCACCTTGGAGGATCACTCGGTATATGCAGAACTAAACCTAGCATGATTTTGAAAATTTGTAGCTACAGTGAAGGAAACATTTAGAACCCAACTAAAATATTTTTTTATTGTGAAGCTTCCGGTTTCTCCGGAAGTAACGTCATCTTTACTATTTCCAATAGAACACCCTAGAACTTCTAGCGATATGCAGTGATTGAATCATGAATGTTGAAAGTT